AATGTGTAGTGTGTGTGTCGGTGTTAGTCACATTTAAGTTCTAAACATAATAATTCTGCCATAGTACTTGCGATATCATATGGTGGCCACCGCAATCTTTTTGTATCTAGCATGATAGCAATCCCTGTCCTCATAATATATTCTTATTTATCCCTCATGCATAGTTTATAAATTATATTCTAGGCATAATCATTTAAATTTATGGAGAAGAGAAAAATTTTAATCAATTTTAAGAACAAATTTCTTATTGTTTTCCAAGTGCATTCTACAGGGAATAGGTTTGTCTGTTTCTTATTCTTTATTTTTTTTTTAATTATCGTCATAAATAAATCCAATTTAAGTGTGCAACTCTCATTACCCCACCTCACATGCACGTACCTTGTCGTTTTTCACACCAGAAAAACATGCATATATAGAGAAGTAGATCTAGAGTGTATGTAAGAGTGAAATAATTAAGACAGAAATGGGTACCTTCGTATGGGTGATCGGAGCTGCGTTATTATTGAGCATCGGTGTAACGGTCAATGCATGTCCGCCGTCGGATAGGGCGGCGCTGCTGGCATTCAAAACAGGCTTACACGAGCCTTACTTGGGTATCTTTAAATCATGGACAGGTAACGATTGTTGTAATAAATGGTATGGTGTTACTTGCGACCCGACTACAAAACGGGTTGCCGACATAAACCTCCGTGGAGAGTCCGAGGATCTGCTTTTCCAGAAGGCTCACCGGACCGGCTACATGACCGGAACTATCTCTCCGGCTATCTGCAAGCTTGAGAGGCTATCCAGTGTAATTATAGCCGATTGGAAGGGTATTTCCGGTACTATACCTCCCTGCATCTCTTCTCTTTCCTTCCTTCGCATCCTCGACCTCATTGGCAACCAAATCTCTGGCGAAATTCCTTACGATATCGGCAAACTCCGCCGCCTTACGGTTCTCAACGTTGCAGATAACAAACTTACAGGTAGAATCCCGAGATCTCTAGCAGATCTGTCCTCTTTGAAGCATTTGGATCTAAGAAACAACTTGATTTCGGGAACTATTCCAAGAAACATCGGAAAGCTTCGAATGCTGAGTCGTGCTTTGTTGAGTGGAAACAGAATTTATGGGCCGATACCTGAGACGATTTCGTACATTTACCGTCTATCAGATCTAGATCTCTCATTGAACCGTTTCTCAGGGCAGATTCCGGATTCTCTTGGAAAAATGGCGGTGTTGGGGACATTAAACCTCGACGGAAACATGCTTTCCGGCAAGCTTCCGGCGACGTTATTGAACTCCCGCATTAGCATCTTAAACCTCAGCAGAAACGCGATTGAGGGAAGCATACCAGACGTATTTGGTCCAAGATCTTACTTCATGATAATGGATTTATCGTATAATAAGCTGAAAGGATCGATTCCTAAGTCGATATCTTCAGCGTCGTTTATCGGCCATCTTGATGTCAGCCATAACCATCTATGTGGTCAGATCCCGGCGGCGACGTGGTTCGAGCACCTTGAAGCGTCGTCGTTTAGTTACAATGACTGTTTATGTGGGAAGCCTCTTAAAGCTTGTTTATAAGATTAATTAGTTTCAATGGTGAACTTCCGGCGATCGGCGCCGGTTATGGATTAAACCTTTCGACAGTTATTTCAGTTACTGTTGCAGCTTAAAGCAAGGTGTTGCGACGTCGTATTAATGCATTGCATAAATTTGTAATATGTACGTGGATCTTCCCTTTTTAATCCACATATAAAAAGAGATATTTTAGTGTGTTAACTTTTTTTTTTATCAACTTTTTATGTAAGCTTTTCGTTTTAATTATTTTTTTGATAATTATGTTTAGTTGGTTTATTACATTTATGATAATCAAACGGTGTGATTTTTTGGATCTTAAAATATAATTCGAGGTATATATATCATTAACTCTACAATATCAAAATCAAAACTAAGATTGAATTTTAAACAATATAAACATATAATAATAAGAGTTAAATTTCCTATTTTGGGAAATTTTATATTTGTTCTACGTCTTATGTTTGTAAAAACATATAAATTGAATGGAAAAGAACGACAGTGTTCATGGCTAAGCATAAATGTATGATTCTTATGTACAAACATAGCATTAAACCAGTGATATTTGAAACCACTAATTTCGTACAAGTTGAGCATTAAGTAGATGTCGACTTCTCGCGAATTCACCGCAATGCTCTAAAGTCCATAAAGTAAAAGTACGTAATTTAAAATACATGGTCATAAGTTTAACACGAACAAAGCAAACCAATAATCATTCACTTAATAATATCTGAGTGGTTGTAACTTTTTAAGTTTTTATGACAAAGTGAAATAATTGAGTTCGATTAAATACGTCCTTAAATGCTTTCAAATGCGTGGTGTTGAAGCCTTAATTGATAGATCTGGAAATTCTCATTTTGATGTTGCAAAATCAGCTTCAGAAGATCTTCGTTCGACCAAGGACAATCTGATCATTCTTAAACAGAAAAGAGCTTATCAGAACATTCTGATACAAAATGTCAATAAGAATATGACACAAATATATTGTCTTTTTTTCTTTTCTTTCCTCTCAAAATCTCACAAATAGATTGTCTTCACTCCGTTTCATCTTTAACTAATTAACATTCGTTTGTCATCACATTATCTTATTGAGACAAATTGCGTAGACTTATAACATGGTAGATGGTACATGATTAGATTCATGGTTCTAAAAAACGCGCTATGGCGCGCCTCAAGGCGTGCCATGGCGTGCAGCGTAGTGTAGTGTAGCCGTTACGAAAACGTTCAAGGCGGGTTTGTTAAGCGTGGTGTCCAAATAACGTGTCAAGGCGCGCCTTATCGCGATATGGCGCGAGTTTTTTTCAAGGCACGAGTTTTTTTTGTTTTTTTTTTTTTGATTTTTTTTATCGGGACTAAAATAATTGAGTTTTTGTTAACTTTTTATATTAAATACTAATATAACACTTCTAAAAACTTGATATACTTGATAAAAATCAATAATTATATGATTTATCTCTTGTAATATATAGATAATAGTCACGCCTTGAAAAACGCCATGACTCGACAAGGCTTGTCATGACTTAACTTTTACCTTGCCGCCAAGCCACGTCTCACGTTATTTAGAACCTTGATTAGATTATTATAGTGTTGGTTATCATCAAATATAAAGAAAAATAATAGAACTAATTTGACGGTGACAAACAAAGAAATAAAAACTCTTAACTTACAATGAAATATTAGAACATGAACTAGAATTAATACAAAATATTGTTTCTTTCAGGAATCCTTTTGTACTTTTCTTCGTTTACACAGTTTTGTTTTTATCATTTTTCAAAAAGCAGTAAATTAGTACCTACAAAATCAAGGGATTCTTGATTAAACACCTTTAATCTCGGCTTCCATACGATGAATCTACTAGAAAGGCTTTTTTTTGGTACATAATATTTTTGGTGGTAAATACCAATGTAAATTTTAAAAAAAAAAATTTATGTGGATATTTCATCAGTAATTACCAATGGATATCCCATGCGTATAAAATAATAATTAAATTACATTTTCTTTTATAATCTTGTTGGCGCAATTTCATTGTTATTCTATAGCAATCTTGTCGCTAGCTATATCTTCCTCTTATTATTATATATATATATTAAAGTTGTGGAAGAAAGGAATAGTAAAGTTGGCATATTTTGTCCAGCTTTGGCCCCTTGATTTACATATCCGGTCCATGTACTTCTTTAATTAATTTATTCATGTCCTTTTGTTTGTGTTCCATTCA